AGCCCTGGCAGTCCCTGCACCCAGCAACCTCTGCCCTCAAGCACACATCCCCCCAAACATGGTTAAACCATGTCCACGTGACCTCACAGGTTTTCTAAAGGAGAAGAGAGGTAAGCCCTCCACCCTTCAAATATAGACAGTGATGAAGATGCAGAGCCCAACAAACTATAGACAAAGTCTGAGATCAGCATTCTGGAAAGTGAGGTTGGCAGACCCTGTTTGGCCAGATGTTCACAGATGTTGCAGGGAAAGGGCCAGATGCGGAAAGGCCGGACAGGGTTGACCCGCAGGACCCACCTGAGTCTAAGCTTCAAATGTGCATCCCGAGCCTGCTCCAGGGCCCCAAATCTTGTGCTTCCCTAGTCTGTTTGACTCCTGGAGCAAGCACCCCTCGAGGACCAGTTAGCTTTGCAAATGCAGAAATGGAATGCCTGAGCATAACCCAGGAACACGCACCCCTTCAGTGAGACACGGACTCTTTTTTTCCGGGCTGGTTGTGCTCATGCAAACACAGCAAAGCCACTGCAATGCAGGGCCCTGGCCAGAGCCCTGGTCTGTCTGCCCCCACTGTGGTCTTACTGTCCAGCATTAACATCCAGCATGCAGGTGTTGGGGATGGGCTACATTTCGGTAATGACTTCTTAAAAATAAATAAATGAGTGAATGGGGCCGGGCATGGTGACTCATGTCCGCAATCCCAGCACTTTGCGAGGCTGAGGCAGGTGGATCACCTGAGGTCAGGAGTTCTAGACTAGCCTGGAAAACATGGCGAAGCCCTGTATTTACTAAAAATACAAAAAATAGCCAGGTGCAGTGGCACATGCCTATAATCTCAGCTACTCGGGAGGCTGAAGCAGGAGAATCGCTAGAATTAGGTAGGCAGAGGGTGCAGTGAGCCCAGATGGCACCACTTCACTCCAGCCTGGGCGACAGAGCAAGATTCTGTCTCCATAAATAAATAAATAAGTGATGGATGATAACACTGCAAATGACCTCATTGTCTACACAACAGTCCCATGTAAGATCTTCAAGGAGGTGTTTTGTCAGAATCTCCTCAGTTTTGATGCATGTGAAATTGACATCTAGGGCAGCCAGCGGGGCAGTCAGGGAGACAGAACTCTCTGTCACCACCTTTGAGCTTGAGGGTCTGCTCCTATCTCTGACAATGGGATTCACAGCAGGATGCGGGCAGGGCTGGGAACAGGATGTGGCAAGCAAGGCACAGGGATGCAAAATGCTCAGCAATGTCACCTCCAGACTCAGGCATGCGTGGGTCGGTCTCTAAGAGCAAGGACCCTTGCACTGTGAGCCCTGAGCATGGCACTTGTCTCACCCTCAGCCTGGCCCTGGGGGTGTCAAGCAACAGGCAAAACATGAGGAAAACAGGGTTTATCTTCCTGGAGTGTAAATTTTGCCCAAAGACTTGGAAGAGGAACTAATTTTTCTGTTAAAAAGATACAAAAAAGATCAGAGAAGAATGCAAAACTGAAGAGTTTTTAAGATAAAACACACCCGGGTCCTGGGGATACAAGCCCTTGTTTTCACCTTTAGTGGGATCTGGGTAGACATCTTGAAGAAGTTCCAATTAAGCTGTTGATGAAAAGATTCAAAGACAGAATATGTGCTTATTGAATCTGCAGGAGACATGCGCTCTTGTCATCTTAAGATTCCTAAACATCAGAGCCGAAAAGAACAATGCACTGAGGTGGCCTTTGTCCTGGTTAAAATTCCATGCTGCAGTTAAAAGCAAAGCTAGCTGCACAGGCCTTGATCTAAGGAATATGACTGAGCAGCCGCCGAGTGCTGGGCTCTGTGCTGGGGTAGACGTGCAGCTGGGGGATCAAGTGGCAAATCACAGGCGAGTGCCTGGAGGAAGAGAGCTGTGGCAGTCCTGTTTGGATAGTTTCCATTTCATTCCTCCTTCAAGACCCAGTGGTGAGTCAAAGTCTGTAAGAAGGTTTTTGAATTGCAGATGAACCACGATAAGCTCCATGCATTAGACCAGGCAAGATATCCCTCCGGGACAACTCAACAGTGCTTAGATTCTCAAATTCTAAATGACACTGAGTTTAATTATCTGAACATGGCAACACCATGAGGGTTCATTGATAAAATCTTGAGTTCTAGCAATGCTGCCTCATTCATTCATTCATTCATGCTTCCATGTGTCTGGCACTGAGATTCTCCAGTTCCCAATACCTGCTCGATGCAGCCCAGTGGTGGAGACAGACGCGAACCAGTGAGCCTCACAAGGAGCAGTGGTACTGAAGGACAAGAGCTGGGTTGAAGGGTCAGGATGACAGTGAGATCCGTACCATGAGTGGATGGCAGCCTGCTGAGGCAGGTCTCTGAATACATGCTCAGCGGTAGAACAAGAGGCTGTGAGAGAGAGAATCTGGGAGAAGCTCGGAAAGCAAAGTCACTGGTCCAGGACGAGAGTGGAGAGAGGCATTCACCTTGCACCCTAAATTTAAGGACACACAAAAAAACTCAGTGATCAAGATAAATAACATTTCAATGACTTTAATGCAACACTGAGAAAACAATCACAATTGATGTGAAATATTCATGATTAATAACATATTAAAATGTTAAAATCAGGACAGGGTCCCACAAGGCCAAGGTCAGGGTAAGGTGAGTGAGGCGGGTCGCGCAGGTACAGGTGGAAGCCTGTCTTGATCTAAAACTTTAATACTGCATATATTTTGCATTAATTTTTATGTTTTAAATATTGCATTATTGATCTTGACTCTGAGTAATTTGCCACCCCTTTCCATTTTTGCATTGTGGCCTCTCCCTGCCCTGGTCCTACCCTCCAAGGACAAGGACGAGGGGTTGGGAAAGGAGGCAGGGGCTGGACCACAGCAGAGGCTCAAGGGTCATGCTCCAGACCCTGGGCTTTATCCAGCAGCATTGAGGAGCCAAGAATGATATATCCAATGTGTGTGTGTGTGTGTGACAAGATTGCATGGGAGAATTTGTAGTGAGGGGAGGGAGGACCAGAAAGAAGAGGGTGAAACCAGTTAGGAGGGAGACATGAGTATCCAAGCAAGAAGTGCAAGCCATTTGGAGAAGACGGGTAGGAGAACAGTGAATGAATTAGAGACCTTTAGGCAGTGAAATCAATAAGGCCAGGACACGTGGATTCAAGAGGATCACTTCTAATTTTCTGATGGTGCAATTCACTGTGGCCATGACTAGTTTGGAGTAGAGGTAGAAAATGGGTCTGGTTTTTGGCCTGTTGAGCCCGGTTCATTTGCAGCATTCTAGTAAGATATGATAAATGTCAATATATACATATAGCGTATGCACATATACAAAATATACCTATTTTGATACACATTATACAACTTTACAAACAAGGTTGGTTGTACCAAAACCAAAGGAAGGAAGGTTGACCAGGCAAGGTGGCTCATGCCTATAATCCCAGCATTTTGGGAGGCCAAGGTGGGTGGATCATTTAGGGCCAGGAGTTCGAGACCAGCCTGGGCAACATGGCAAAACCCCGTCTCTACTAAAAATGCAAAAATTTGCCAGGTGTGGTGGCAGGTGCCTTTAATCCCAGCTACTCAGAGGGCTGAGGCAGGAGACTCCCTTGAACCCAGGAGGCGGAGGTTGTGCAGTAAGCCGAGATCGTGCCACTGCACCCTAGCCTGGGTGACAGAATGAGACTCTATCTCAATTGACAACAAAAAGGAAGGAAGGTGGACCACGGTACCCTCACTGTCAGCACGTTTATCACCATGGTGATGGTTCTGGGATTCCTCATGTCTGGATGCTGCTTTGCTGAGCACAGGAGGCTTTTACCACATTGCTGCATTTTAATCATCACCCCCTGGTGAGGACCCTGAAGGTCAGGTTTCTTGTGACTTACTTGAAGTTACTTCGCTGGGCTTGAACCAGGGTCTCCTCACTCCAAATGCCACAGTCCTTTCATCAGCTCTGTTGCCTTACACACTTACCATTTCACAAACCCCACCGTTGTCCCCAAGAGGCAACTGTTTTCATTGTTTGATATCTTGTATCCCCCTTGCATGGAATCTAACACCGTTTTAAAAGGGAATACCTCCAACTTGCAGCATTAAAGAGATGTCATCCGGGTGCTGGCTCGACTGTTTACTGATTGATAAATACCAAGACTGCTCCTGAGGTTGGGCAAGAGATGGGTGCAGTCCTGGGAAGAAAAAGCATGCCTGGTGAGTCTGCTGACTGGCGAGTGAAAGCCACACTAGTGTCAAATGGGGTCATAAAAGCTACCTGGGCACGGCGCATGTGCCTGTGTTCCCAGCTACTCAAGAGGCCATGGCAGGTGGATCACTTGGGCCCAGGAGTTTGGAACTTTAGGATGCTATGACAGCACCTGTGAATGGCCACTGTACTCCAGTCTAGGCTACAAAGTGAGGCCCCATCGCTAAAAAAGAAAAAAAGATATCCAGAGCCAGAGACTCAGCCACTCACCCACAGTTTTCAGCCCTGATTTTGCCATTTAGTGTAACCCTTGAAAAGACATGCTGGGACTATGACCATATAAAATATTATAATATTCCTATAATATTTTCATTCCTCTGTGTGGCCTCAGAGGTTTGTTGACCCATACAATGGACCCATCGCACCCTGTGGAACGCAAACTACTCCTCTGGGCAAAACACACTCCAGAATCCAGATCACAGCAGCCTCAAATCATGTGGCCTAAAAACCCGGACCAGAGCTGCTTGAACAGCTTCTCCAATGCTAGTGCAGTCTTAGAGCTCAGACTGCTGCAGAATGGAAAAGCAACCTCCCTTCCCCCGGGGCCAGAGCCCAGCTGACATAACTGCGATGACTGCTGGACAGCGCCGTGGCTCAGCCGAGCTCATATCCCCCTTCACGAGAAACAAGCCTTAAAATCCAGCTGTGATAGTCGCGTAGAGGCTTTAACATGCTGTTAGTGAAAAATCTGTTTAGAAATACATTTTGAGTTAATCAAATGCAATCAACAAAACGAGATGTCATCCAAAAAATTAATGTAACAAAGATTAGAAATTCTCATTGCTGAGGATGGGGTGGTGCAACAGGCTCTCTAATACGCTACTGGAAGCTTCTTCAGGAAAAGCAATTTGTTGATGGGTGTGTGTGTGTGTGTGTGTGTGTGTGTGAAGAAATGCGTTACAAACACTTATCTACTTTATTCAGTAATTCCACTTTTGGGAATCTGGCCCAAGAAAATAATCAGGAAATGAAAACAGGTTCATATAAGCAGGCATTAATCATGGCATTACTTGACTTTTTAAAAAATTAAATGTCCAGCACTACCAAAGTGATTAAATAAATTATGGAATGTCCTTACGATGGAATATTTATACAATTATTAAAACTGATGTTTGCATAGTTTTAATGCAAACATACTTTGATGTATGCCAAGTATTTTTTTAATAAAAAGGAAATGGTATGCTTATGACCTGGCATTGAGTACAAACCGCATATACACAGCACAGTATCACTCAGCATAAGCTTGTCACAGGCAAGAGCCTGGAGGAAAATATTTTGAGATTAATAATGGTTACAATATGTGAATCTTCTGTTTTCTCCTTTATAGTTTTTTTGTTTGTTTGTTTTCTTCCACAGTTTTAGAATTATCTTGATTTCCTTTCACTACAAGAAAATAAATACTTAAATGCATTAGTAAATAGTTTGGAGTAGAGATTTTTAAGATGGTGGTTATGAGTAGCTGTGTATTCACAATAGCAATATTCCTCTCTGAGGAGTGAACTAAGAAACACATACTCTGTTATAAATAGCTGTAGGGCTTTGACATTGCCTTTACATTCAAAATGAGTTCATGTCATGAGGGAAGCAGGACCTTGCTGCGAAGCTTGGCTTAGGAGGAGCAGAGAGCTGGATGCCGCCCTGCCTGATTTCCAGCTTCTCCTCTGTGAGTCCCAAGCTGCAGAACTCTGGGCAAGTCACTTACCAGCTGTAATCCGTCTGTCCCTGTTGACAGAGCAGCATCAGTGACTCCTGCCTTCCTCACAGGACCACCAGGAGGGCCAGTGGACACCCTTGTTGGGAGATGGCAGGGACTGTTAAGATGAGGACACTCCAGCTGTTGCAGGGTCCACACAACAGTTTGGGAGACACCAGCCTCCAGGTCAAGTTCTGGTCTACGTGACCCTGGGCCCCTGAGATCCCTGTAGAAAGTCTGAACTGCTCACATAACGCTGACCACTGGAGTCTGCAAAACCTGTTGACATTTGAGAGCTCACCTCCAAGCCGTCAGCTGTTCTGTGAGGTGGACAAGGTGGGACAAGTGGTGATTTTGCAGCAGACAGTGAAGCCGATACTCAGAGATCTCAGGAACCCAAGTCCCCAGCGTGGCCCAGTGGGACTTGGAGCCTGACCTGTGGCCCAGGCCCTCAGGCTCCAAGACCAGGGCTCTTTTTATTATCCTCTGTGAGCTGGAGATGGGTTTCACTGTGTCCGTTTCACAAATAGGGAAACTGAGACTCCCAGAAAGCCAGGTGATGAGCCCAACTCATATATGATCCGATCTGTAAGGTGACATATGGTTCCTAGAAATCACCATACCACACGGGGCTTATGGTAAAAATGGGGTTAGGAGTACAACACTCAAAACATTACCAGTAACATTAAAAAAAAAAAAATAGAAGCCTAATAAAACAATAGCACTGTCTGACACACATTAAACTCGTAGGAAACGCATAAACCCTACAGTAATCATGGCACTTACCCTGGGAAAGATCTGAATTTACCTGTGCACTGGGGCACAAGGAGAGTTACAGTTTCTAAGTGATTCTGCAAAGGAGGAAGGAGGCTTACTAGAGATGGAGCAGAAGGTTGTAACACCTGGTGCGGACAGGTACAGCTCCTAACCCACAGCTGAGGTGACATTGAAGGGCCACGTGTATGTGCACATGCTTGTGTGTGTGTTTCCTGCAGGGCTTGACTGAGCAGGATGCAGTTTTCTGCATTTGCCTACCATTTCCTGAGGACAAAATCACATCATGCTCAAATTATCCGCTAACATGTCAATCACACTAGAACAAATTTGTGTTTTCAAAACAAGACTCAGAGCAGAACCGGCTGTACCTAGTGAAGGGTGAGGCTACAAGTGGAACATGCGATTTTTTTTTTCTGACCTCAAAGTGTTCTTTACATAGGATGGTTCTACAGGCATTTCCTTCTTTTTCTTCCTCTTAGCCTGGCTTCAGGCTGGCAGTAGATAGCACCTGCTACCTGCAAAGGTGGGGTTGATGCGGAGGCATGGGTGATGATGACACAGGAAGAATTCGGAGACTATGCCTGAACCCAGCGGAAAGAGGCCATGATGGGTCACGGTGTCCCTTGGAGACACAGATGAGAGAGTCTCGTACTCTACTCCAGATCTGCAACTTGCCAACTGCGTAGGCTTGGACAGGAGACTCAACTTCCTTGAGGCTTGGTTTCCTCATCTGTAAAATGGGAATAAATGTAGTACAACCCTCACCAGGTGGATCTGAGGGTTAAATGAGGTCAGGAATGTAGCAAGTGTTCAACAAACTCTGATGACCTCACTCCTTCTCCTTCTCTTCCTCTACTTCTCCCTCTTCCAAATCCCCTTCTACTTCATAGTCATCTTTGTCGTCATTACCATTAACATCATCATCAACATCATCATCATCCTACCACCAAAGAAAAGAAGTCACAACCCGCTGGTTCCTGAGATGCTGGCAATGGAGCCGACTCTCTGGGAGCATCAAACTCAGTGAATCCTCTGGGTCTGAGGTGCATTTCTTGGTCTCTTGCACCCCAGACTTCACTTACTGCAGGAAACAGGCTCCTCCTTGAGGAGAGCAGCAGGAGCAAAGCTCTCCTTGGCTTGGTGTCGCTGTGTGGCAGTTTTCCTATTGGGTCCTGTGATGCGTTTTTTCTTCCCTGGAGCACTGCATTTGTGCGCATTTCTTATGTGCACTGAATGATTTCAATGCCAATCACCCACATGTCTGAAACCAGAAGGCCAGTCCCAGGAAGGTGGGACATGTCTGGGAGGTAGTTTCAGGCATTCAAAGTACTGTCTGCAGACTACAAGCATGGGCATCGCCTCGGAGCTTGTAGGAATGCAAAATCTCAGGCCCAGCCAGGAACCCTAACCTGCATTTTAACAGGATCCTGGGGTGATTCGATGCACATTACAGTTCCAGAAGCACTGGTCTTAAGGGACACAAGAGCCACAGCCCACAAGTCTGGGCTCGGGGAGAAACGCCTATCCCTTGATATGTTGAATGTCTGTTTCTCTTGGTATGTGCTGGGGATTACGTGCACATGTCTGGACTCAGGTGGGATCGTGTTAGAATCCTGCCTCCAGCTGATATTCTGTGTGGCTTTGGTCAATTGGCTCCACCTCTCTGAGATTCTGTTTCTTTTTCTGTGATCTGAATTAATAATAGTTATTAATGTTTGACACAAAACATTAATGCATCCAGCACAGTTCTCAGCCTGCAGTAAAACTCGTAGGAAATGATATTATGACCGCCATTGTTTGGAGTGAACACTGCAAGGTCCTCAACCAATATCCACTTTCTTTTTCTTCTTCGCTAACAGAATCTCAATTTTAGTCAGACAGTGAATTGTTATTGAACAACGTTCACCTTCTTAGACCTTCTTGAATCTAGAAATGACCATGTGACCATGGACACAGTCCTTTGGCAGGGTTTCCCTCCTCAATAGGAAAAGATTTCCGAATTTCCTTTCTTTCCTATCTTCCCTCCTTTCTTCTTGGACCCTGGATGTGATGTCTGGAGACAAAGCAGCCATTTTGCTGTCTTTGGGGATGAAAAGCACACTGAAAGGATGAGTAAGAGAAGAGAAAAGAAGGTGGCTGGGTTTCAGCAGCACTGTGGAGCCACTGTTAGGATTGCCCATCTCTGGGCTTCATGCTATAAAGCAGGTGGGAGGATTGAAGCTCAATTTCAGCTACATGCCTGACCTCATTTAACCCTCAGATCCACCTGGTGAGGGTTGTACTACTTCAATTCTATTACATACAGCCCAACATAGTCCTACCTTGTGATGCCACCATCACGACACTGTCATCACTACGATCGCTATGGTTACTAACCATCTCTGGCAAGCACTGGGGGCTCAACCTGGGTCCTTGGTGAGCATTTGCTAATTTCAATTGAACAGTTTGAAGGAACCTTAAACCTGGGAAACAGAATCGACTGTCAAGCTCCTTTAAAAAATAAGAATTAAAAAAAAACGTAATCCAATTATCCACCAATAATAACTGCTAAATGCATTTTGACATGCAGCTTTTCATGTTTCTTTTTACACACACATTTAAATATACACCTACTTGTAAGGATAATGTGCACTGCTAATTTTCATGTATCTCTATATTACCATCTTTTTCATTCCATTAAATTTGCTTCTACAACAAAAATAACAAATCAGATAATGAGAGGAGCCTGATCCTCCACTTGCTTCAGTTTTGCCTTCCAAGAACTGCGTCTTTGCAACACTAAGAGCAGACGTCACCCCCACCAATGCCTGAGTGAACGTTTCCTGTTGAAAAGCCGCATCGGGAAAGATGTCAGAGCTGCCGGCTCACTTTTCCTGGAGAGCTTCTTAGGATGCCCAGAGGTAACACAGAACGGTCACTCCTTTAACGACTTCTCTTTATTTCCTCCAAATGTCACTGTGAAAAAGTCATACTCATTTTCACAATAAATTCACACTTTTTTACATGATGAAAATGATGTAAGGCTTTAATTCTAAAGTTCTACTCCAGGACTTCGGATGCTGCCTGTCCTGCCTTGGTCCAGAGTCCTGCCTGTGTGGGAAGCCCTCTCTCCCAAAAGTGAGTGAATCAGAAATTATTTGTCAAAGTGACTCCAATACTGATAATGTGTGGCTGACAGAACAAATAGCATCCTTAATATTTCTCACCTAATAAAATAGGACAAGAAATGATTTGGAGAAGCACCTGCACCAAGTCATGGGGCCAGGCTGTCTGGGGGGGCTCCCACCCCCACCCAACGCTTACCTCCACCCAACTCTACCCTCACCCCACCCCCTACCTCCACCCAAC